AACAAAAAGACAGTTTATTAGAGCTACAAAGAACATGAAATTGTGGAGAGCCATGACTGCCAACATACTGAAGAGACACAGCATATAGAATAATAATTTGGGTTAGTCTGCAAAAGAAAAGTCAGTTTAGTAGTGCAAAGTTTCCAAATGAATCATACATTGCTATTTGTAGCCTAATCCTCTTGTAATTAATTAAGAGATATATAAAATGGTGCAGGTCTTAGCTCTGATGTGGCCATGGCAGGTCTTAGCTCTGATGTGGCCATGGCAGGTCTTAGCTCTGATGTGGCCATGGCAGGTCTTAGCTCTGATGTGGACATGGCAGGTCTTAGCTCTGATGTGGACATGGCAGGTCTTAGCTCCGATGTGGACATGACAGGTCTTAGCTCCGATGTGGGCATGACAGGTCTTAGCTCCGATGTGGCCATGGCAGGTCTTAGCTCTAAATGTAAGAACTGATGGAATTAAGGAATGTAGTTTGTCTGAACATTTTCCACGGAAATAGTGATAGAGTATCAAGTGTCTTGTGATGTTTCACCCTTTGAGAAAGGGGTTGTAGAGTAGAAAATAACTAATCACCCACAGGGACACACATTTAGACTCTATTGATGTTGGAAAATGAAGATTGGGTAGCTTCTGTTCATATATGGCAGTAGTACACCCTTTTCGGCTTGATCTAGCTCTTGTAAAAGTAGAGGACAGTGCAAGGAATCAGATACTTACTTGTGCAATACAGGGAACTGACCATTTTTTCAGCCTCTTTAGTGATTGATTGTATGAATCACTTGAGGTCTGGATTGAGTCGAAGTCCCAATAAGTGCTCAAGGTATGGTTCCTCCTTGACAGAACATCTGTTCATTGTGATTGGCGATAATTATGGATGAGAACAAAGTCAACCCAAAATTTAGTTACAAATGAAGCCCAATTTACAATTCGTACACAATGGCTACTCAGGTTTCATATTAATTTTAATGTTGTTTTTTTTTAATTTTTTACTTTTAGGAATTTTCCTCTTAAAATTCAACTAATTCTTTCAGAAATGATAAACTCCAAAATTTCCAATGTTATATAAGTTCGTCTAATGCTGTTCTTTCTTTTAAGACAATTTCAATCAAATCAATTTGAGATCTGTGCAGATCTGCAAATATCAATTATGATACAGGGTCTTTTTATGTTGATCATTACCAAAAAACTTGGTTTTCTCATATTTTTTTTTGTCAATAACTAGGTGTGCCTATGACCCCATTTTTTGGAATGCTGTCCAAGGTATTGGTATCTTTTGTCCTCATGATATTCTTTGTTTTCTGATCACCAATCAAAGACAAGAGGATTGAAGTTTCTTTCTAGATTTCTAATTTAGTCAAAGGTACAAAAAAGGGATGTACAGTCTTATCAGGGATTCTCAAATTAGAAAAAGGAATTTTAACTGTGATTTGAAATTGGATATTAAATCAATTGAGAGTTTTATAGATGAAGATTTGTTTTTGTTTGGTTTCAGTTAATAAAGCAATGTAGTTTCAGATATTGTTTAAGTAATTGCAATTGGATTCTTATGTGACATCCATCCTCTTATATGGCAGTGAATGATGGGCAGTCTCCTTACAAATGAGGAAAATTTAAAGGCAGCAGGAATGTGGGTCAACAGAAGAATATTGAAAATTCCATGAGCTGAAATTCTTTGGACACATGAAGAGTTATTATTATTATTTACACTATTTACATTCAGACTATTGTCCTCATTTTTGTTGTTGTTATCACAACATTTCAGCTGTTGTACCCTCCAGCCATCATCAGGTATATATCATCAAGGGAGCTATTATTAAATAATCCACCAGCTCTCTAACCTGATTAGAACCAGTCTAGGACCTTTCTGATACCACCTTGTATATTTGTAAATAGTTTACATTGTATGCAGAAATAACATCATCAAAAACATCAATTTGAGAACCACATATGTTTGCATGTTGATTCCATTTGATTTCATCAAAGTTTTCATGATTCTTTCAGACAGGACATTATCAGGCAACAAGAAAAAAAGAAGCAAGTACTAACAGAAAAAAACACTTCTATCCAGAATCAAGAATAAATAGCTGAAATTTTTTGGACTCATAATGAGGAAGGAGGGTTTGGAATACTTAACCCTCATGGAGCATATAGAAGGCAAAAGTGATAGGGGAGGGCAGCTAGATATTTATCTGATAAACATGTGTGAATGGATGATGGAACAGGAGGGGAGGTACTTAGCAAAAGGAGAAAAACTGCTAGGGGCTACATGAGATAGGAAGTTGTGGAGAGCCATGATCGCCTAAGTCCTGAATGGTTGAAGTACATAGGAGAAGAATTGCAACTATAAAAGTATAATAATTGAAAAAATTACTAGAGGAAAATTCAAAACTAAGAAGAAAATGATGAAACATGGGATCATAAGGGGAGGAATGTGATCTTGGACTCTGACAATCAGGGGTCTAAATAAAATTAATTCACTACTGACCTATACATTCATGTGCAGGTGGTGCAAGGGTTAACAGCTCCAAATGGGAAATCAATGTGCCAAGGTCAAATTCTGGTCAAACTCATTACATTTGCTTTTATACAAACACCCTTGGGAAAGCTATGAATCCATCTCTTCTCCCCCAAGCTATAGGTTAGATAGTAAAGCAAACTGGGCTTTTCAGCCTTGGTTGGCAAACAGTCTAGAAGAAGTACAAATCTGAATGCAAAACCATATGTAGCCTGGACAAAATGCATACAATACAGTCATGGAAAAATTATAGATGTCTGTCTGAATTTCTGGGTTACCATTATTTAAAATTTGGACTATTATCCTCATCTTTTTTGTTGTTATCACAACATTTTGGCCATTGTATCCTCCAGTCTCCCTCAGGTGTATAGTGACCTGGGTAACCTACAGGGAATTCTGAACTGAACTCTTTATTTAATCTAAAGAAGTAGACTGTTCTTGTCCCACTGTCCGTGTCTAGGGATATAGTCTCGTTCTTATTTTTATTTCATACTGTTTCATTATTGCTCACCCATTTCCACTGAGTGCAAGTACACACTGCCTGGCTCAGGGATTGAACTCACAATCATTATGCCACCAAATTATGGGATTGGAATCAACAGAATTTGCTGACATAATGATTGAGAGTTCAATCCCTGGGTCGGGCAATGCGTACTTTATACTCAGTGGAAACAGGCAAGCAATAACTACAGTAACTGAGCAGTAAGAAAAAGACGAGATATCTCTAGTGGGACAAGAACAGTCTAACCCCCGAGATTAAATAAACAGTTCAATTCAGAATTTCCAGTAAGTTACCCAGATCGATATATATTTGAGGAAGGCCATGAGGCACAATGGCTGAAACGTTGTGTTAACAGATGGGGACAATAGTCCAAATATAAATAGTGCAAATAAAGATTATAGAGTTTGAAATTAATTGCAGTGCAAAGTTGTGGATTGTATGATCTTCATTGTGGTCAACTTGTACAGTATTAATGGCAAAACTAAAAGGGTATTTCATAAATCCATCTGTCCTGGGTAAGACAATAAACTACATCTGGCAGCAAGGCATCTGATCAGGAGGCTTTGAGGAAGCATGGAACCACCTCTTAATTGCTGGTGTTCTTAGGTCCACCCTTACCCGGGGTGGTAGCACCAGTTAGGGTCCCAGCTATGGGCAAATAGTTAACCCCAAACTGGTGTCAAAATACTATGAAAGTGTAAAAATAGGTTTTAGTACCAGCAATGAATTTTTGAAAGAAAAAATTATTACCAGCAATACATTATTACCAGAATTTTATTTTTGAAAAACAAAATATTACCAGCAATACATTTTTGAAGGAAAAGAAATATTACCAGCAATACATTTTTTAACAAAAAATAGCAATAAAAATCTTGTCATCATTAAATAACCCATTGAGGCTGAGATGCCAAAAACAAAACAAAGCAACCATAAATCCATACAGCAGTGTCTCCAGGAAAGCCTTCAGTTAGAGATCATCTTCAGGCATGATTTTGAAGCCATGACATCATTACTATCAACCCAAGGCACCCCAGCAGTATCTCACGATATTACCAGACATTGCTAATTCTCCATCATATAGTGCGAATACTTTGTAGTAAATAAAGTGAATAAAATACTTTATCAAATTTTCTGAAGGAGGAGAAGTCTTTAATTGATTTTTTTTATTTTTTTTTTATTTTTTACAGCTTGACAAGCTTTTTAAATTTATTCAAAGCAGAAAGATATTTTGGGGTTGTAAGAAATTTTTGGAGATTTCTTTTTAATCATTTCATCCCAAGCAAGGCGACAATGCAACTAAGATGCAAGGGGTTAATTCACAGTGTTACAGGGAGTAAAAGTGAATGAGAAGACTTGGCTGGGGAGGATTGAGGAAAGGACAAAAAAAAAAAAAGAACAAAAAGAAAAAAAGAACAAGGTTCAAGAAGACAGAAGATGGTGATTGATGTTGCATTTAAATTTTTGAAGGTTTTATTTATCATGGAAACCAGAAATTGAAAGGGAGTTCCACAGGTGGGAAGTGTGAGAAAAGAAACTGTTAGAGTAGAAATGGTGGTTGCATCTAGCTAGTTCAACCATGAGACCAATCTAGTAGTATGCTTAAATTCATGTAGTCAAGGGACCTGGGAGGAAAAAGCTTATCAGAACAATTACTATGAAAATATTTATAGAAAAGACAGAGGAAAGCTACATCATATCAATGAGTAAATGACTGAAGTCAAGATGCCTGATCAGAATCAATTATAATTAATTTTGTCAAGAATGTACAGCACATGTACCAGACCAGATAATAGTATCAAATGCATGGGATAGTAATTTTCTGACACAAGTCTTACTATTTAACCCATAGCTGGGAGGAGAAGAGGTTCATACCTTTCCCAAGAGTACTTGCCCATAAGAGAATATAACAAACCCAACTGAAATTTGAACTTGGCTCTCTGATTAACAATTCCAAGCCATAATCCATACATCCAAGTTTACAGAACCTGGTATTCCCAAGTGGTCACCTTTCTAGATACTGACCAGGTTCAATGTTGCTTAACTTCGATGATCGGATGAGAAATGGTGTTTCAATCTGATATGGGAGGAAAGATATGAAATAATCCTGGCAAGTCTCTGTTAGATTTTTGGAAATTCTTTCTTGGCTCAAAAATTTTCATTTCAGTTGTTTTCACAATTTGGGATCAACATTGCTTCATTTCCCCATTTTTGCAGATTCATTCCCAGAGGAACGAAAACAAAGATTTTGAATCTTGTTTATTTGAATGTCTACTGACCTCTCTTCATGGTTGACAATAGGTGTCACAGCTTTTAATTACCTAGACAGTAAGGTAAACTCACTCAGTCAGTTTAGTACCATATGTGATAAATGCTTGGGCGATCTTGTTTCTTTCAATGCAGTAGGTTGCCATTTATTTCTGTAGTAGACTGATCAGCAACTAAGGCTAAAGAGCATAGTTTGTATTGCTATTCAACCCATAGCTGGGGGGTTCAAAGATGTGGATTCATACTTTTCCCAAGGGTACTTATGCTTCAGTAGGAAAAGTATAAATTCATCTCTTTGAAAAACTATAGGTTTTTCCATCAAATATCATGACGTACCAAATGGGTTGCACTTTCCCACATGCAGAAAATTGCAAACTCGTGTGATTCATTTCTTTTTTTAAAATTTCAATTGTATATTTTTTTCCAGCTGCAAGGGGCTAAGCTGTTGGAGCATGGGTGTTTTTGTCAAGGCACCATATCTGGACAGATTATCCAACCAAGGCTCAAGAGCTCCTATCTGCCCATGAGATGAGGTCTCGTGTCTATGTAGAACCATCAAAAACTTCTACACAGTTTCATCTACTGAATTTAATTCACAAGGTTTTGGATAACATGCGGCATGGTTTTCACTAGACAATATTATCACCTTGACTAATCAACCCAGATTAGATTCTAACGTGGGTCTTGCTGTCTGAGTGCTCATACTCTAACCATTCAGCTGCATGCCTATATATGACATACTAAAGACAAAAGAACAAGATGTTTTTGTCAAGATGTCTCATGCAGAGACTATACAGGGAGGTGTAAATTCATGCCTTTCCTAAGGGTATTAGTGGTAAGCAAAGTAATAGACAAATGAACAAAATAATTATAACAGTCATGAACAGCTATATTCTTATTCAATAAATTTAGCTTTGGATGGCATAAGGCTACAATTATGGAGCACTGTGTAAGGATGAATTGCACTACGACAGTAAATCTTGTAGATGTGCTTGCTAATCAGTCCATTACAATAAGGTGTCTATATTAATATTTACAATGTTTAACTGTCAGGCAAAGCACTACAAAAATTAGTCAGATTCAAATTATAGGATGTCTCTTACCCTAGATGCTGCCAAAATTGACTTTGCACTCAGTGTTTTACCAGAACTTCAGTGAAGCCGGATGCATCAGTGGGTTGACCTTTATGGCTGTCAGGTACAAATCTATACTTCACACGATGTTAGTGACATTCTCAACCAAGCTGCAGCAATGATGTGCACACTTGGGAAAATAAGAAGAGTCTCTTACAGCCACCCAAGAATGTTGAATCCACACCCAGTTGAAGTATTGAGTTGAATAAACTGAGAGATTTAGTCTCTTGTTGTCATTACAAAATTCTTTCAATCTAGCATTCATTTATTCTTTCATTCTAGCATTCATTTATTCTTTCATTCTAGCATTCATTTATTCCATCTAGTATCATTCATTCTTTCATTCTGCAATTCATTTATTCTAGCATTCATTTATTCTTTATTTCTAGCATTTTTTATGTGTTGATTAGTGATCTTCTCAATCATTTCTTTCTTTGTCTCAAACAAATTTAGTGAATGCAGTCAGAATGAGAAGTAAAGACTTACAAGTAATCATATTTATGATAAAAAACAAAACAAAACCAGAAGCATAACACAAAATGATGGGATAAAAAGGAAACAAGAAGGAATTATGAATATAAAAATGATATCAAAGGAAATGAACCATGTGAATACATACAAAAATCTATATCTTATCTAATATTTTTATTTCAGAAATTAAGTTTTAACATTTTCTTATTTTGTGTTGCTTCACACCTTATAGTAGTAGATATAATAGTCTCGGGTTATAATTTCTTAAAAGGGAAGCATTATTGATAAACTAGTAACAAATTTTATTGCTTCACACTTTCTTGATATAGTCATCTGAATTTCTTAGGGCATTATCATTATTATTGATTTTTGATCAGTTCTTTCTTTTATTTTATTTTCAGTGACGGTCATAGAATGTAAAAAGAAGTTAAACATTACAATCATAATTGTCTTTTTTATGACTGAGTGTGGTCCTAGGGTTGCTGACCAATTATCTCCAAATATCTCAATTGAAAGCCTGAGAGGTATTCCTTCATGCATAGCATTTCATGGACAAGTAGACCTGGCAAATAAAGCCATAGATTTTGTCCTCCAATTTGAAGCATGAAGGCTTGTCTTGTGTGGCCAATGATTCTATTGGGGAAACCTTCTGCCCTGTCCATTGACATGATATTTCAGCCACTATACCCACTGACCATCTTTCAATGCCTATCACATTAGGTAGCCTTGTAGGAATTTTGGATTGAACTCCCACCATTTTTTGTTGCCTGCATTGTTATATATTGTCCTCTCTCTTATTCCTGTCATATTTTCAGACATCTGCAGTTTTCTTTATGCTGTTAATTGGTCACTCCACTGAATCACAACATATTTCTGCACTGCTCAACTAAGGGACTGAACTCATAACTTTCCCAGCTCTTTTATCAACTTGCCATGAAGGATGCTCAGGCAAGTATTTCTGGAGCTTAAAATCTTAAGTCTGTTCTTTGTTAATTAATGGCTCCTATATGGTACTGATATCTATGCTTGGTTTACTGATCAAATAGTTTAAACATTACATGCACTGCCTTTTTGTTTTGTTTTTCTCTAGTTACACCATCCCATCATTGTCACTCTTTTAATGTGTGACTGTATTCCTTTTTGGGAAAAAATATTCTCATTGACATAGTTATAGGATAGAAAAAAGAAACTTGCACAGCATATCCCTCACTTGTCACTTATTCCATAATAGTGTATCAATAACTGAAAGGCACAGGAAGATGTGTGATTTTAATGAAAATAGGCTCAATTTAGGTTCATGTTTTTTCCAGTGATAGTAAGCACAAAAGGTTAAAATTGTTTCATTGTTTTTGTTTATTTGCTCTCATTTATTAGGCCACCTTACCCACTTCTCTCAGCTTAAAGTATCCATTTCTTCATTCCTGGGTTTTATGAAGAAATTCTGGTTTTTCCTTTTCCAAATACATCTGGTATCAAGTACAGCTTGATTTGATAAAGATCAGTGTTCCTAGATACATCCAAGAAGGTGCCGAATACTTTTTGGCCTAACCCATTTCTCAAAATTCCTTTTGGAATCTCTTCTTAATTGGGCTGAGAATGTTACAGTACATTTTCATATTTAATTATTTTGAGGGGATCACTTTATTACTTAATAACAATAGGAAACCGATCTCACATTTTATGTCCAATATAATTATATAAAAACTCCAAAAAGGTGTGGTTTATGGCCATATCAGGTTGAAACACGAGTTCTTGTGAGATCACTGAAGTTAAATAACTTTATAAATACACTGATGTCCCAAATAGTTTTCAGCCTGAACCACTGACTAAATGAACAAACATCAAAATTTTTTGAAAATCCTTTCTTGGTTAGGCTGAGAACATTACAGCACCCTTGTGCATAATAATTATTGGGGAATTAGTTTATTACTTAATAAAAATAGAAAATCGAACCCCCACTTTATGTCCAACATAACTATATAAAAACTCCAAGAAGGTGCAGCTTACGGCCATATCAGGTTGAAACACCGGTTCTTGTACAATTACCGAAGTTAAGCAATGTCAAGACTGGTTACTGCCTTAATGGGTGACTGCTTGGGAATACCAGGTGCTGTAAGCTTGGATGTGTGGATGGTGTGATGAAAAAAGGCTGAGAATTAGAATTATTCACTTATGCGCAAGTATCTTTGAAAAAAGTATGAATCTACCTCTTCTTCCCCCAGCTATGCATTAATTAGTAGGACTCATATCAGTAAATCTTTATTATTTCCAAAACATTCTTACAGTCTAAAAATATTTTCTGGATTTAAATATCTTGCAAAAGGTTGATAAGCCATAAAAAAACAAATCAGTCATAAAACCAACAAAGGTGCTGAATACTTCTTGGCCCAACATATTTCCAAAAATTTGATCAAATGAACAAAAATCATAATTTCTTTTGGAATATTTTCTCAGTTGGGCTGAGAATGTTACAACATATTTTCTTATTTAGTTATTCTTGGGGGATTGGTTTACTACTTAGAAACAAGAGAAAATTGATCCTCCACTTTATGTGCAGTATAATCCTGTAAATACTCCAAGAATCTGCTCAGGTCAATTCACTTCACAAGAATCAGAACAAATGATCAAACATCAAATATTTTGGAGCAGAATCCCATTTTCATCAAACTGAGAACTTTTCAGCCATCCTCTCATAAATCTCAATAAATCTGAGCTTTGGTCATATTTGCTGTATTTAAAGAAGACTTTTGGGGAGCAAATGGAAGAAGAGAGAACATCACTTCTCTTATCCTGAATATTAAAAAAAGGTACATATGATAACAAACCAGACTCAAAACTACTACATGAAATTTGAAACAGATATTTATAACACAGATATAAAACAATATCACAAAATACAAATTTTACGAAAGAATGTTTGCACAAAAATTTTCTTTCATGCACCTTATTATGTGAAAGATGATATAAAAAACTGTCAAAAAAAAAAAAGAAATTGCTCTTAGGAAAAGGTGCACTCATGTAATAAATGAAAAAAAAACTACTTTGACATAGCCTACAAGTGTCACTGGGAAATTTAACGATATTTTGAAATGTCTTTCAGTTTTCTTTCTGCTTTGCAACCACATGTTTTTATTGGGGCCTTTAACAATATTTTTTTAAATTTCTTTAGATTTTCTGTGAATTTTTACATGTTTGGCAGTGGTGATGAGGCCAGCTTAAAAATCTTCTTAGTTCTTCTTTTTTGCCAGTGTAGTTTTTAATAATGCCAAAATCTTTCTGCCCTTCACATGTGGATGCCACAAATATGCCAACCTGCCCCCTTCACATCTGCTAAGTCCCTTCTCCTACCCTCTTCACATGTAACCTCTCACTCCCTTCTGCTGTTATCCTATAACCTGTGTTCTTATATACTCTCAAACACGACTCAACTTTAAGTTTATGTCAGTGGAAGCCATTCCTTTCACAAAAAATACAGTGGGGGTTGTATTTTTATTAAATCTGAAAAAATGATTCCCCAATAGTCAGCCATGGCAGTTATTTCTGGCAGTCCTTTTTAGAGCCAATTCTAAATAAAAAAAAACAAAAAAACTTTTACACACAAAAGTAAGAATTTTTTACAAATCAACTGGCTGATACATTTCTACCAAAAGTGCATAAAACAAACTTAGACTATTTAATATTTATTTACTTACACTTTTTAATTATTATTTTTAATTATTTTATACTACTAACTAATAAAAATGTTTTAGATATTTCGTAGACAAGCTTTATTTTCATGCTGAACACATGAAATCACTTTCACACACAGTGAAAAATATTGCAAAATCAGAAGTAAGTCTTCTGAGGAGGAGGATTGGCACAATTGCATCTCGATTAAGGGACAAGCCTCACGAAACAGAGTGGCTCTTGCAGTGTGTCTCACTGGCAATGGTTCAAGGTAATGTTTTCTCCATCATTGCGGCTGGCAGAGGATAGAAAAAAAAATTGTTTATAGTTACTTTGTTCAAACTTTTTTTTAAGTAAATAAATTTCTCTATATTTCACGGTCATCTTCTATATGTCATGTCCTTTCAGGATGTGGGTGATCATGGATCTCTACAGTTCAGTATTTCTCCCTTTGTAAAGCCACCCACCCACCCCCTGTTCTACTATGCATTGACAGAAGCTTGTCAGGTAAGTTTGCTCTCTGCCTTCCCAAATCTTTTGCTCTTGATATGCCTTGTGAGGATCAAGTTCTCCAAGTCATATTTTCTCATGTGTCCAAGAAATTGCAACTGTTTCTTTCTGATTCTAAGTATAAGTGTTATTATTTTTGTTAAATTTTTCTTTAAGATTTCTTTGTTGCTTACTTCCTCCCTCCATGGAATTCTCAGCATCCTCCTGTAGAATCAAATTTGTTTAAAAAAAAATCATTTAAAGCAATAATTCTCAAACAGAAAGCACTTGACTCCCAAGAGGAATTTTAACCAATGGAAGCACTCACGGATAGAGGGTATGTAAATATAAAAGTGGACATTGAAGTCAACACCCAGAGCGATAATCTGTTTCATGCTTAAAATGCAATCATCAGGTCATATATATATATATATATATATATATATATAAAATACAATCATCACAACTCCAGAGTTTTATAGATAGACCATCAGGAGTTTGTCTATATTTCTGAGATGAGGTATTATATACACTATTTACATTATTCGGACTATTGTCCTCATCTTTGTTGCCATATTTATCACAATATATTTTGGCTGTTGTATGCTTCGGCCTTCTTCAGGTAGTTGGAATGTCCTTAAGGACAACATAGCACAGTGGATAAAGGCGTTGGTTAGATCCAGTGACAGGACTCAAAGAGTTGTGAGTTCAATACCTGATTAAGGTAGTGGAGAACTTGGAGAGGGGAATTAACAGGAGATAACTGATAACTGACATCCATTAGACATGGCATGTGGAACTAGAACAGTCTACCCCAGTGAGCAAAATAAAGGGTTCAGTTCGACATTCCAGCCAACTGAAGAAGGCCGGAGTGTACAACGGCCAAAATGTTGTGATAAATATGTCAACAAAGATGAAGACAATAGTCTGAATAATGTAAATAGACCCTCAGGAGATATCAACAAGTGACTGTTTATACAATATATAAATGAAATAGAAAAATAAGTAAGTATCTTATCTTACTTATTATAAAACGCAGATTGTGTGTGTGTGTGTGTGTACGTTTATATATTGGATCGGATTTCCTACATTTTTTAACCGATTTCAACAAAACTTCACAGGACTGCGTAAAATTACCTTGCGGTGGTTCTGACAGTGCCAAAATTGAAAAATACAATTGTTTTTAACGAAATCAATTTGAAAACACGATAAAACATGATTCTGTCACCAGAATGAAAGGGGGACAACTCATATCGAGTTATACTTATAAAACCCAGGTTGTTTGTGTGTGTGTGTTCATTTATATATGGGATCGGATTTCCTACATTTTTCAACCGATTTCAACAAAACTTCACTTTTTTTTTTGACAGGTTGTGTTTCTTATTGTCTTGCACACTTTTTTCTTTATTTTTACATTCAGAATGCTTTAAAAATTCCATTTACAAGACAATTGTTTATAATAAAATTCTATTCAATCGATAGTATCATAACGATTGAAAACAATGTTTTTGTTTGAGTTTGACCAATTTGTAGAAAAAAAAAAAATATAATTAAGACATGCGTGTCAGTCAACCTTAAACAATAATCTTTGTCAATTTTATTTTTCAGTCTTTATGATGGTCGATACTTGATCTATCTCTTACTGTTATATCCCCGGGCAACGCCGGGCTCTACTGCTAGTAAAATAATAAAAAGAAGCTGTTTCAGACTTAATCCCATTTGGGACTGTTTGATTATGGAGGTTTGAGAAATGTGTCTCAGAGAACATATCAGTTTCCCAGGTTCATGTAAAGTTGTTTTACGCAGTCAAACAAAGTATAATTACTAATGTGGAAGTACTGAATCATAAGTAATTTGGGAACTAGTTGTAATGACAATGTATCATCTGAGTTACTAAATATACATGGCAGTTAAGTATAAATTTGGAGTACACTAATAAATGGCAATGCTTACAGCAAAAGACAGTGAATTGACAAGGACGAATCTCTACAACTGACCCCAAAAACTGAGCTCCATGGAAGAAAGGTAATGTTATACATGTCAGTTAAGAATCAGTTTGGGATACACTAACAATTGTCACTGTTTAACGCATAAGACAAGGGACTGACAAGGACAAATCTCCACATCTGACCCCAAAAGCTGAGCTCCATGGAAGAAAGGTAATTTTAGGTGTGTGTGGTAAGATTGTCAGGGTGTTATTGATTTATAGTTCTTAAGATACAATGTAATATTCAATGCATATTCATATGTCAAGCAGCTACAAACCTTCCCTAAAAATTTGATTGATAAGTGCCTTGTGATTGTCATTAAGAAAAAAAAAAAATTTTCTTCTTCATGTGAACGCAAGACCACATATATCAAGAATAACAGGGGAAAAGTCATGGAACTTGGTTAGTCTGTTCTCCTCCAACAGCCAGATTAACCCGACCTTTGTACTTTTGATACCTTTTCTGATCACTCCAGAATGCTTTGATAGAGAAAACTTTCTCTAATGAAAACCAAATTTAAGAATCTGTTAAAAACTTTTTCACATCAAAACCTGTTGAATTTTATTAAAAAGCTTATTGTAGAGCTGCCTGATAAGTGGCAGCAATTTTTTTTTAAACACAATAAAGCACTAAATGCCATTTATAAATAGAGTACTTGCAATTTTTCTATGAAGGTTTGCTTGAAAAGCATCCTGAATACAGCAGATGATGTAATGGTTAACAGCTAGAAATGAGAAGTTGGAAAGCAGAGTTCAAATTTCAGTCGGGTTTGTTACATTCACTTACCCTTGGGGAATGGTATGAACTTCTTTCTCTCCCAGCTATGGGTTAAATAGTAGGTCTTGTATCTGGAAAAATCATTGTTATCTACAGAAAAATGTTAGTGAAAATATTCACTTAAAAAATTATTCTTACAATCTAAAATTTTTTAACTTTGACTGTGGGTTATCCACAAAGGGTTGAGAATCCATAATAAAAAAAAATGTGTCAATTAAAAAAAAACTCATCACTAGAAAAAATGTCTCTCTTCTCCATGACAATGCAAGGCCACATACAGGTAGAATAATGCAGGGAAAAGATTTTAGAATTTCGTTCTACCCCAGCCATCCATATTCATCTGATTTTGCACCAAACGTTTGTTACATTTTGCAATCACTGCAAAACACTTTGCTGACAAAAACCTCTAATGAAAACTAAATTCAAGAGTTTGTTGAAAACTTTCTCAAAGAATTTTACTCAAAATTTATTGAAGAGCTGACTGATAAATTGCAACAAGTGAATGCAAAAATGCTGAATATATAATTGAATAAAATATAATTGTAGTTTATTTTTGAAAAAATACATTTCATAAACCAAAATGGGAATTATTTATGACTTGACCTAATATAGTGTAGAAAAAAAGTACAAGATGACGAGGCAAAACAGGGGAAGGAATTGAGGAAATCTCACAAGGAAAGAATGTGGCCTTGGACTTTAAAAAAATCACAGAATCGGAGATACTGCTTGGATCATAGCAGCAAATTGAAAATGCAAATTCGGTTTTAGAAAATTAAACTCATAAAATTTCCCACCAAAGCAAGTATTCTAAAACCAATCTTAAAAACCATAGGAAAAAGAGATTAACATTTGTAAAAATCCATAGTTAACAAATTAGCATGAAAGATACAATTATGCATGGTATAAAAAAATAGAAACAACAGAAAGAAATACTTAAAAAAATATATATATATATATATATATATATATATATATATATATATATATATATATATATATATATATATATATATATATATATTCCTTCCAAGGATTCTTTTCAGAAGTAATTAGCAAGAAAAGAAAAATAAGAAAGAAAGGGATTGTCAGTGCTCAGCAATTAATGTAAACATTATTGGCTCAATAAACTACAGAGGGTATATACTAGTTTGGTTGATTGATGTCTTGTTGAAATATCTTCTGAAGTCATTAACATGTCTTGACAGATTTTATTTGATTCATATCTAACATGATAATTAATTTATCATGGAATAAAAGAATAAACACTAATTAACAGCAAATTGGACTCACCATGAACTGCAAATTCTTTGAGGCAAAATTTTCTATGACTGAATATAAAAGTTGTAAATTCAATTCACGACATTTTTATGTAACTAGTAAGACTCATAGAAATTCTGCAGTGTTAATTTGGGAATTAGTAATGAAACTTGAAACAATTTATATATTTGAATAATACAAAAAGAGAATGAATGTTGATTTTAAATAAGGACCCATCTTTTTTTAATAAGGAATCCTCTTTTTTAAAATAAGGAACCCTCTTTTTTTTTTTTAAATAAGGACCCTTCTGTTTTTAAATAAAGACATTTCTGTTTTCAAGTAAGCACTCACAGGATTACTCAATCAAAGCTGGAAAGAATATTATCGTTAATTTTCAAATATATAGAAAAAAAATGATATAACATTTGAAAAATAATCTTTTATCTCGTCATCCTTCCCTTCATGACTCTATTTGAAATCTTCCATTTTGCAATGGCCAAACTGTGGAGAATGTTATAAACATCTTTAAAAAAAATGTTTACTTCTACAATTAAGAAAAATCCTTTTAATATGTTTATTGGTATTCATCTTGTGTTCTCATCAGACATACAGGTAATCTGTATTTTGTAATGTTTTATTTTAATGGCATAAAATATTTTTGTTGGCCTGTTCAGGTCAAAATCTTTTTTTTTTCCTCTCAATGTGGATAACTGAGAAAGCAAGTTCATTTCAATCTTGGATTTTCTTGATTCATGATTTAAGAAATGCAAAAATAAAAAAAAATTGACACTGAAACTTTTCTGTAAATCTAAATTTAAATTCCCCAGCATTTTTACTATGAAGAAGAGGAAAATGTAGCTCACTGGAAGATGAAGTCAGGAAAGGATACATAACTAATAGAGAAATTATTGAAGAGAGAAAAAGAAAAATATTCCTGGATACTTATTTATAAGTTGAACGGGGAAAAGAAGAAATATTTGAAAAAGAATAAGGAGAGATAAAGAAAGATAAAAAATTCTGGAAACTGTATGAGTGGGGGGGGGGAGAGAGAAACAGGATCAAAAAGAGAGATTGAAAGGAGAGAAAGAAAGATGAAAAGAGAAATGAATCCTGAAAAGGAGGGAAAGAAAGGTGAAGAAAGACATGAATCCTGAAAGGTGGGGGGAATGAAAGGTGAAGAGAGACACAGGTACTAAAAGGGAGGGAAAGGAAGGCGAAGAGAGACATGAATCCTGAAAGGGAGGAAAAGAAAAGCGAAGAGAGACATGAATCCTGAAAGAGAGTGAAAGAAAGACGAAGAGAGACATGAATCCTGAAAGAGAGGGAAAGAAAGGCGAAGAGAGACATGAATCCTGAAAGGGAGGGAAAGAAAGGCGAAGAGAGACATGAATCCTGAAAGGGAGGGAAAGAAAGGCGAAGAGAGACATGAATCCTGAAAGGGAGGGAAAGAAAGGCAAAAAGAAACACAGGTCTTGAAGGGGAAAGAAAGGAAAAAAAGAGTTGCAGGTCCTGAGAGTGAGGGAAAGAAAAGAAAAAAAAATGTAATATTTCCTGAAAGGGGAGAAGGAAATGCAATGAATTTATCAAAAGGTGCATCAATCTGTAGGTGTGTAGTTATTGGTGACAGACTAACTTCAGATTCCCAGCCCTCCAAATTCCTTAAGACTGTTCACTTTTGCACTAATGCCCTTGGGAAAGACATGAATCTATCTCTTACCTTCCACTAAGACATGAGTAAACATTGTTACACTTTTACCTTGAGAGTTCATCTCATTTGAATTCAAAATTCAGAAGAATGAACTCACTCAGACTATTCAGACGAAGGTGCCCAAACATTTTAGACCACTGACTGCTTTCATAGAATCATTGATCCCTTATCAACCCCCTCTGTCTTCTACAAAAAATATATATATCAATGTTATAACCAACATATGGTTGCAAAGGAAAGAAAAACAAGGATTAAAATTTCAGCAAGTGTGTATTGACCAATTTTCAGAATATATACATAATACTTAATGCCTCGGCATACATAGCTGTGTGAAAAGGACTTACCTGATATAGGTTCACCAGTAAGAGTTCACAATTGGGAGGTTGAAGACGTCAGTCCAAGGGGTGTCATGAAGAATATCCCGTAATGAGTCCTAATCAGCATGCTGGTAATGGAAAATGTTCTTATGGATAGGGGGTTCCTGTTTACTGGATGCTTAGAAGGAGATATCAATAGCTACCACAGAGTGGCCCGAGTTACCAAGAAGGCAGAGTATTGCGAAGCTCAGCAAGGGGGAGGGGAGGTAAGAAATAGATCCAGTAGAGAAGCCTGTTGCTTGGTTTGACTTGGGAAATGAGTAGGAAAGTCCACAATTCGGGTGAGGGATTGGGTAATGGAAAAATTGTCTGTATACCAGCAACATCAGTAGCTTTGGAATGTTTCAGCCACATATCATGGTGAGCATTAAGAGTCACTGAAGACAAAGATGTTCGCAGATGGATGGAGAGAAAGTGCCTTTTCTATACTATCAGCCTATGCATCTAATATTCTGCAGTCTTGGGAAGAAGAGGAGCAACAGAGGAAAAAGAGATAGTTGACAGAGTTTAGTAGCAAAAGGCGGAAGCACATGAAAGAGTAGTCAGCGACTTCAAAAGACAATTCCATGGCCATAGGCAGATTATCCTGGATGTAAACAGCAAGCCAATGCATGTGAATCCTGGAATCTTATTTGGCAAAGGGGAAGATACCCTGGAACTAAGAATTCATTCGTAGCAATGGAAGAATTCAAGTTGGTTTCACAAAGGGCAAAGATATATGCTGCAGAAGTTGGAACAGATACCATGAATATTGGAGAAAGAAATATTAAGGGGGGGTGTTTTTTTGTGAGCTGGTTTAGATTTATTTTTGTTGAGATTTCCATGAGATATGTTTTGAGGAGAGAGGAAAAAGACCACCATAATTGTCACTACCTATAGCAATACAGACTGGCCAATGTGTGGCTGAAAGCAGAGCATAATGTGGCCTCAGGGTTGCCAACCAGAAATACTTGCAGGGATACCTACTCATGCGGGACATGGCACTATAAATACCTCCAATACTATGTGACTTGATCAAAGCAGCCTGTAATTGCTACCAAAGAGTTTGGGCTCCTAACAACCAGTCAGAAGCAGAAGCCAGCAAGCTGCCAACCTGTTACTCTCACAATGCAGAGTCACAGCCAGTGGCTAGTCTGATCACCAAAAAGACAGTTAAAACAGTGTGATCTTGGTAGAAGAAAGATAGTGAACCAGTAAACCATATCCTGATCAGGGGACAAGAGACAACTCTCTACTCCTGTTCAATAGACATGGAAGACCAGTGGGGGCCTATCTACTATTAACCTGTGGGGGGAAAAACGCATGTGAAATATAAAAGAATTCATAGTAAGTAAGGACTTAGTATAGGTTCTGCTGTCTACTACCAACTAAAAAATGGAATGGTAAGACTTAATACACTCTTGTTGTGTCAATTTTTCAACATTGATATGCAACTCTCTAATGTAATCACATTCTAAATTAAATAAGATGTTGGGCTGGCTGAAGTAAGAAGATTGATAATAGCAAAGATGTTTGGTTTTATGAATACATGGATGTATCAATTCGCTTTTCATGTTCAGCAAGTTAGGGTTATTTAAGTGTTTTAATATAATAAGCTTCTCCAACAAACATAAGTTACATCTATCTCACTTTCCATAGTATGATTTAGCTTTTGTGATTATCTCCCAGCTAATGGTTGCATTCTTATGGTTGTTTTTTTGCTTTCATAAAATGTTTTTATGACACACCAGAAAACAAGCCTCCTTGTAATTTTAGAACTGGAGTTGAAGGTATCTGTAATTCGGAAAATGGTATACCAAGCTACCATTTTTCCAAAAGAAAATATCAATGATAAAAAAGTATACATAGGAGTATCCACTGGGAGTTGGAAACAGACTTTACAATCACAAGCATTCTTTCTCCAATGCTTATTTAAGACACCAAACTGTTCTATCCAAACATTATTGGAAACTTATAGATAAAGACTTCAACCCACAAATTAAATGGGATATCATCTTTCAGACTCCCAACAACTTCAAGGACAGATGCAGTCTATGCATACAAGAGAAAATTATAATGATTAAACATAAAAATGCTGACCAATTATTGAATCAAAGAAACAAATTTATTTTCAAGTGTAAACATAAGAACAGATTTAAAATTTCCTAAAAACATTGAGGATATGTACTTGAAGTGTTGATTCTGTTTTACATGGGTACTGACACCTATGTGTACATGTATTCACATTTTTATATATAGTCATTTATGTGATTGTCTTGCCAACATCATTTATAATTTTAGATTATTGATTAATATTATTTTTATATTACTATTATTGATAATATTATCTTTATCATTTTTATCCTTATCTATATATTTTTTTTTTTTTAATTTGGTCTTTAAATTTGTTCTTTATTTATTTCTTGATTTATTTAACTATTTAGTTTATTTTTCCTATTTTAATATTTTATTTTATTTAATTTACTTTATTTTATTGATATTGAATATTATTATTATTATTATTATTATTATCATCAATTTGAAATTGTGATGATTATTATAATGTGATGATGAGTTTTGCTGTCTGAAATGACATGACTATTAGACTTATTACTGTAACTCTTTTAATTCTGATAACACCCTCCCTTACCCAGTATATTAACTTGTTCAGCCCTTTAATGAAAAATTTGTTTTTTGGTCAATCTATTGGCCCATCTTTAATTCTTCCTTCTTGCCTTTCATTCTTCCCTAATTTTGTTTTTAAATTTTATATTGAAATTTTTCTTTTTCTTTCTTCCTTTTTTATTATAAAAAATTTTTCTTTTTCTTTTTTTTTTTCCTCTCCCTTTTCTTTTGTCTGGGCAAATTGATTTCATTTCTAAAAAAAACCTTTGGTCTGCAGAGATGAATATTTAAACCTATTCATGAAATAAATTATAACTGGAATGGATTTTTAAGGATTTTCTTTATATATATATGTGTATATATATATATATATATATGGTGGCTTGACATTGCGTTTAGCATGAAACAGTCTGTCACCTGTGAGTGTTGACTTCAATGTCCACTTATATATATATATATATATATATGCACACACACACACTATTTATTCATATATATATATATATAAGAAAAAGGTTTGTCACTTGGCTGATTGATGTTGCCTTCAGCATCCTGACTCCAGAGTTTTGTAGACCAACCTGTTTGTCCCCTCATCAAGGGGTATCAGTAATTGACTATATATAAATGTATGTGTACACACACACACACACACACACACACATATATATATATATACACAAATTTCATTAAAGATGACTGACAAGATACTGTGTTTAGGCTTTTAATTAATTTTTTAGGTTTATTTACGTTTGTTCTTTTATAGACATAAATTGTGTAAAAATAACTAATTAAAAAATACTTTGGTCTTCCCTCTTAATAATAACATAAACATTTAGATGATAAAATTTTGTTTCATCAAGTTTGGCATCTTTTTCATCAGACTATGCTCTTTTTTTAGCAATCTCATGAAGGTACCTATAATGTAGGAGCTTTTATTCTGAGTGCTCAGCTGGAATCCAAGTGAGTATCTTTGTATTGCTTTTAAAACACTTTCAACATCTCATTACCACTGTTGAATAAGCTGAGATTGTTAGTGGAAGCAAGATGCTCAATATACAGGGCTTCTCTCACAGGAGATGTTTCCAGTAATTTGATCTATATAGATTTTTTGTGTTTTCAATTAGAATTTTCCTTAAGGGATCTTGTAAATCATAGGTGGCTAGATGTTTTTTTTCTATAGTACCTTTATCTGATAAGTGACATGTGATGAGTCTACTCAAGAAGGTGGTAATAAATCTGATATAGGTAATTGATTTATGACAAAAAACACAATCTTTTACTGGGCAGTGAAATTGATACATTATATTTATACATCTATCAGAATCCATTTTGCATATTTATAAACCTACCATTTGCCTGTGTGTGTGTATATATATATATATATATATATATATATATATAAGGACAGTGATCTTCAGATGACGAGAATGCATTTTAGATGTTTGAAGATCACAAGAGCATAAAACTTGAATAATAATTTGGGCTGATCTTTGTTAGGAGCTAACGTTGGGAAGCATTTTTTTTACTCTGTGTATGTAATCAGTGTGTTAGACACTTTGCTGAGTAGGTTGGTGTCTTTTATTCTTTTTCTTTCCTTTTTGGGATTTTTCTGGTATAAGGTGTATGTGGAGTTATCCCACTTACTTTCCTAAAAAAACTGTCACTAGGGTATGCTCCTTAAGCCTATAAGTAGGAAGTAACATTCTCTGTCATCCTCTTTTTCCTTATTACACACAGATACACACATTGCTGCTGAAGTATACTCACTTTCTTTGGTCCTCTGTTGACTTTTGAACTGTCTCCCACACACATGCATATATACATACATGTCTATCACACACACTTGTTACACAAGTTTCAATGTCTTTCTCTTTTATATATCCAGATTGTCATGTCACCCACAATGG